TTTTAAAGAGAGAGAGAGAGAAAGAGAGAATTTTTTAATATTTATTTTTTAGTTTTCGGTGGATACAACATCTTTGTTTGTATGTGGTGCTTAGGATCGAACCCGGGCCGCACACATGCCAAGTGAGCGCACTACTGCTTGAGCCACATCCCCAGCCTAATATATATTTATTATCTCCCGTTTTCTGTGGATCAGGTTGGCTGAGTCTTCTGCAAGGCTGCCATTCAAGGTGTCAATCAGTGCTGGTCTCTCATCTGAGGCACAACTGAGGAAGGATATATTTCCAGGTTCTTAGAGTTGTTGGTAGTATCCAGTTAGACTTACAGATTATTAGACTGAGGGTCTTGGTTTCTTGCTCTCTTTCAGCAGGAGGCTACCCTCAGTTCCTTGCCATGTAGTTCTCAGAACACGTCAGCTTACTTCTTCAAAGCTAGCAGGACAAGTGTCTCTCAGCAAAACACATGTTAAAATATTATGTAGCGGGCTGGGGTTGTGGCTCAGCGGTAGAGCACTCGCTAGTGCATGGGAGGCCCTGGGTTTGATCTTCAGCACCACATAGAAGTAGATAGAATGAAGGTGTTGTGTCCAACTACAATTAAAACATAAATATTTTTTAAAAATTATGTAGCCATGTACAGGTACTCATGTACATTCCCATCACTTTCCCATATTTGGTTGGTTAAAAGCAAGACATAGATTCCACCCACACTCAATGAAGGGATTATACAAGAGTGTGACTACTAGGAAGCAAGAGTCAGGAGATTGCACAGTCTTATCTGCCTTCCCTGTGTCTTTAGCACCTTGAGCAATGTGTGATATATGCAGAGTAAGCTCTAATATTCGAATGAATGCTATAGGATGGCCATTGTGTTTCTAGCTCCTGGTTTAAACCTTTTTTGTTTCTCCCTTGTTTCAGGGTTACTGACTTATTCTTGAGACGCCTCTCTCTCATCTGTCCTCATGGATGAACTTCAGGATGTTCAACTCACAGAGATCAAGCCACTTCTGAATGATAAGGTAAAGATAACTCTGTTCTCATTAAAACACATATAAGACTTTTATTCTCCTGTTGGTTCATTTTCTGTATCATCTGAGTAGTAACTAACTTAAACATTAAACTTGACTTTTATTGGAGGGAATGCTTCTTAAAGTATATTTCTTAACCTGCTCTTTAATGTCTTTCCCTTTTCTTCCTTATTTTTGTGTCCATGGGTCAAATTCAATCAAGTTATCTTTGAGATTTTCCTATTTTACAAATAGAGATGTCAAGAGAAAAATAATACAGTGAAGTAGGAAACATGCGGGTGGTGTTTGACTTAGAGTCCAAGTGCCGTGACTTTCAATTTCTATAAGGAACATTATACATGCATGGCTGGTGATATACACAGGCTGCAGTCCTCTTCCTGAAGTTTGTCAAGTCTGTGATGTGACCTTTCTGTCAAAATCACAGTTTTCATCAAGGATGCATAGATGTTAATAATGTACCTCATTTTTACGTTAGTGTTAGAGAACTTCATCATGACCAGCAGAGTTGACAGCCATTGGACCCAACAAGTGGAATGCTGTGATATGAGGTACCAAAAAGTTCAGACAGGCTGGTCCCTCTTGTTCAGAAAGTGTATTGGAAATTCTTTCTTTTCCACCCTATTCTTTTGGCTTATTGTCATTGTCTCCTATTAAGATACTCTTATAGCATGGTGTAAATGTTTTCTTGTCATCCTTTTGAGGAAAAAAATTGATGGAGAATAAGATGGGTAAGTGTGTGGGGCCACCAGAAGATGCTGTTGCTTATTATCTTCTTCTGCTGAGACCAAAGCCTTTCAAAACTCCCAGGGCTCCTGACTCATTATGTGTTTACTAATTTTTTATTGAATCCTGCTAGTCCCACGTTCATCCTTGTGACCTCTTCTGTCCCTGCTTCCACCTTTTCCTTTATCTTTTACCAAACTTCTTGCTCTCTCCTTTGGCAAGGTGCATATTTTTTTAACCCCCCTTGGCTTCTCCTACCAATTCCCCTCCTGTTTCCAGAAAACTCTCTTTGAAGTACCATATTTTTGTGTATGTGAAGGGCTGTCCCCAAAGCAATGTGCCTGAATTATATGAATTATATACCCCTGCTATATGAGGATACTGTGAGAAGGCAGCTGTTTGTAAACCAGGAAAAGCCCTCATTGAAAACAGAACCTTGCTTGAACCTTACTCTTGAATTTTCAAGAAAATCAGTTT